ACTGCTTAAGAGTCTCAACCATGTACTGATAACCCTTATACCAAAATGTCACAATCCTGTTTTGGTGGCCCAGTTTAGACCTATAAGTCTTTGCAATGTCATTTACAAAACCATATCCAAAATCATTGCATTAAGGCTCAAACCTTGCTTACCTGTCTGCATTAGTGAATTTCAAGCTGCATTTGTTCCCAATAGGCAGATAATGGACAATGTCATTCTTGCTCATAAAGTGTTCCATTTTTTGAAGTCTCATAGAGCTGGTCCTAAGTGTTATATGGCCCTCAAACTTGATATGATTAAGGCATTTGACAGGGTTGAATGGGACTTTATTAGACTTATCATGTTGAAGCTGAGATTTAATCATCTGCAAAGAACAAGTGTGACAGCATAGGACTCTTTTTGCAAATTTTCCCCTTCTAGATTCCCATTGGATATTTCAACTTGAATCAGATAAGAAAGAATTTCAGAAATGATACTCTGTTGTTTGCAAAAGTTGAAGTGCCCCAAGCTATAACTTTTGTTGGCCATCCTCCAAAATTATCAAGCCATTACACGCCAACAGGTTAATCTTGAGAAATCCTCAATCTTTTTAAGCAAAAACACCCCTGTTCAAAAAGACATATGCCACACTCTTATGGGTATTAAAATCCAATCCTTCACAAACTATCTTGGGCTGCCTCTGGGGATAGAGAAATCAAAGATTGTTACCTTTTCCTACGTTGAGCAAGCTATGAACTCAAAAATAACAATTGGCAAAATAGATTTCTCTCTAATGCAGGTAGAGAAGTGCTCATGAAAGCTGTTCTGGGTGCATTGCCCACTTACTCCATGTTCTGTTTTCTACTGCCCAGGAGAGTAACTAAGAAATTGTCTGCCAAATTTCTGGTGGAGTTCAGATAGCAGCAAAACAAAACCTATTCACTGGAAATCATGGTAAAAGTTAACTCTTCCTAAGAAGTTGGGAGGACTGGGCTTTCAGGATCTTCACACATTCAACAAGGCCCTTATATCCAAGAAACTATGGAGACTGTTAACCCATCCTAACATCCTAGTTAGCAAAACTCTCAACGCAAAGTATTTCCCAAAGGAGGACTTCTTCACAGTCAAGCACAAAGGGAACAACTCATGGCTATGGGCTTGTTGGATGAAGCAGAGGGACTCATTCATGCATGGGCTTAATTACAATATCAAGGATGGAAAATATGTAAGAATATGGGATCACCCCTGGGTGCCCAACTTCCCAAGGCTGAACCCTCAGTTCAGAAGCAGAGCACCTCCTAACATCATGTGGGTCAAGGATATATTGGAAGAATCAGGAAGAATGTGGAACAGGGATCTAGTAGAGAAATGCTTCCCAGCTCAGGAAGCCAAAGCCATACTAAGCATCACAGGTATGGATCCTCATCAGAAAGACAGATTGACTTGGGTAGGAACAGAAAATGGCAGCTTTTCAGTGGCCTCTGCCTACTCGAAAATGATTCTGGAAAAATTTCTACAAATGGACTTGCTTGGCAACAGTCAAGAACAAAAATTACTCCAGAAGGCCAGGATGAGAAAGCTGAAAATTAAACCGAAGGTGAAGCATTTTCTGTGGAAGGGAATGAACAATATCATACCAGTCAACAACAACCTCATCAAGAAGGGCCTGCAAATTGATCCAACCTGTCAGATGGGTGGCGAAGATCGAGAAACACAAGAACATCTCTTTTTCCACTGCAAGAGAGCTCAGATGATATGGAAGATCTCCCATGTCTCCTGGGATGGAACACAGACATTCACAGACACCTTTAAACATTGGTGGCCCAAAGTCTGCTCAGTTAATACTTCCCAACTGCAGAAGCCAGGCTTCAGCTATCTTCTTACATCCTCTGGTGGATGTGGAAGACTAGGAACTTGTGGGTTTTCACTAAGCTTTGGAGAACTGAGAAAGACACAATTAATCTGGCATTGGAATACTGGTTGGAATTTTCTAATGTACATAATTTTGTGTTGTAACTTTTAGTTTGTCCTGTTTTTGCTTTCCTAGTGTTTGAGGATTTGCTAGGGCCGAGTGTGGCAGTGGTTAATCCTTTTTGTGCGCCTGATGGTTGTTGTTCATAGAGGCTAAGGGTTGATGTGAATCCCCGGATTCTAAGTTCTTAATAGCCGGGGAAGTTGCATTTAACCTCTTTGCGGGTTCTCTTACCTTAGGATGATGTTGTATTAGGGCAAGTTTGCCCTAGATGTACACTTGTTTGAGTAATATATGCTATCGTTTNTTCGATAAAAAAAAAAAAAAATAAATAAATAAATAAAAACATGTTGATGTGGGTATTGATTTTGTCGAGTCAACTTGGTTTACCTGACCAATTTATTTATTTAATTTTTATTAATATTTATAACTTTAAAAATTAAAGTTTGTTTGTATATTTATGCGTTTAATATTTATAACTAGATATCATATTATTACTAAGAATTGGAGGGTAAAAATATAAATGTAATTTATATATTTTTTTGTTTGTCATAATTGATCTACCCGCATCCTTACTGTCGCTGAGGCTCTATATATCTTTGAACTGTATGTGACACAAATTTCTGCCTCATACAGCCCGGACAGAAGATCAAAACTATATATATATAGAGTTAGGATCACATGAGAATAGTAGATAGTGAAAGAAATAGGAATGAATCTATACCATTGGATCCAACATATGAATGGTCATGATCAAGTCAATTTTAAATATACCAATCAAACATGTTGTGGCATTTTTGTAAATAGATGTACAATTCATAGTCAAACATACATATTTGACCAATAAATAAGGACAGATTGGTAATTAACATCTTACACACCCAACACATATCACAAGTGGGTCCCACCACAATTACCACCACTTCAGTTTCTCTCACACACACATAACACGCACCAGATCCGCCGGCCTCCAACCAGTTCCCACCCGCCTCCGCCCAGAGCCGCTCGCCTCCGCCCAGTGTCGCCCGCCGCCGCCGGCCGCCTTTCCCTTCCACTAACAGCTTCTTCACACTGTCTCCGTTTCTTTCATATCGGTGGATTCCTCTCCACACTCTCTCCGGCGCCGACCGTTTCTCTTCCCTCCGACCGCGTTCTCATCCCGCCGGTCGCGTCCTCCTCCCGCCGACCGAGTTCTCCTGCATCTCTCGCACCAGTGCTTTCACGATCTTCCTTTTGCCGCTGCCGTGGTCGGACGAATTCCAATGACTGCGAGGTGTCGAAAAATTTCAGGTAGCGTCTCGATCCAGGCCGCCGCCGCCGCCGCCGCCGTCGGGGTCGACACGGCGGTCATCATCACGAACCAACGGCCGCTTAACGTGATCAGCTGCAAAGGTGTTGCAGTTGAAAGATGAGAGCGTGATTTGCTGTTGCTTTTTTGAATTGTGGGGCTTGGTTGTGTGAATTAGATAAGGGTTATGGACTTATTTGAAAATTAAGAAAAATTAACAATATTATAATTCAGCCCACTGGTCAAATTTGCAATTTATCAAACATCTTAAAATGTAATAACATATAATAAATAAAATGCACAATGTCTTATGTAATCAGGCACATTAGAAATATATTGTCATATTTATATGAACTTATGAAAAACCAAATAATAAAAACACAATTATAGTAAGTAAATTGCACAATATTGTATATAAATGAGAGCCTTACAAAAAAAATTATATAATCAAATCAAAATATAAAAGTTGAACCGAAATTTTTAGTTCGATAGGTTTACGGTGCTATTGTGCAATCTGGTATTCATTAATGTGCAATTCGTAAAACATTATGGTGCAATTAGAAATGACAATAAATACACAAGTTTGATAAGTAAATTGTACAATGTTGTGTGTAAGTATGCGCTTTAAAAGTAAAAAACCTATAATCAATCTGAAATATAAATTGTGAACTGAAAATCTTAGTTCGGTCGATTGATGATGCTATGTTGCAATATGGTAGTCATTTGTGTGCAATCCATCTAACGTTATTGTGCAACCGCGATCAGGTGCCCGATCATCGACGGAAGCTGAGTACCGTGCTGCCTCAGCAGCTTTTAGGCATTATTTATGATTTGCCCAAACCAATATAAAATATTTTGTTTATTTGATCAGTTAACCGCATTACATGATTAATCGAGTCAAATTATGTTTATATTATACAAAAATATATTTAGTATTTCAATGTTATATTTAATATTTTTCTATTATTTGTTATTGTAAAGACCTTAAATAATATTTTGTATAGTTCGATCGATTAGGTTATTTAAAAAAAAAATTGACATCAAATTGAAATATTCAAAAAAGTTGATATTAAAAACATATATTTGAATAAAAATATAAAATTCGGACCCAAAAACTTATTCGGTTGGTTTTGGTCGCTAGGGTGCAACCGGACAGTAACTAATGTGCACTCGAGTGAAGTTATTTTTTTATATTTTGTATCAACCCAAACTAAGAACAAAATAATTGATTTATTTGATCGATTAATCGAATTAACCTACATAGCTGAAATAATTTGTAATCTATATTATAAAATATAAATAATGTGCAATCCGTATAACAATCATGTGCAATCCGTATAATAATAATGTGCAATCCGTATAACAATAATGTGCAATCCATATAATAAATCACTTTTTATTAATGTGCATTTATTATGTTTTTATAAATTATGAATTTGACCCAACAAATTTAATTGTAATAAAATAAAAAAATGAAATTGCAAATAACTCCTTAAGAGTATCTAATCTTTAAAAACAATCCTGCCCCAGATCAACCCCACAGTCGTCTCCCCCATCATATTCCCACTTCTACTCCCACCCCTCCATCCCTTCTGGCGTCGAGAACGCCGTCGATCTCCCCGCCTCCGGCTTCCGATCCATCTTGTTCGTCCTTTCCTTTCTCCGCCGCCCCATCGCCGAGTGATTCCGCTCCCACCCCTCCCCGCCCACAACCCTACTCTCCGACGTGTTCATCGCTGGATCCACCACCTCGCCGCTGAGCTAGGCATCCGCCGTCTCCTTAGTCAGCGCCCTCTTGCACGAGATGCCGCGGCGCAGGGACCCACCAACGACACTAGTTCTGTCCGTGTCTCCGGCGGCCCGAATTTCCATGGTTTCCCCTGGTGGCGCGAAGACTGATACGGCTGTCGGGCCGATTCCGGTGGTCGCCGGTGATAGTGACTGGCCTTTGTGTGTGTGTGTGTGTGTGTTTATAGTATGTGTGTGTGTATGTGTTTACAGTGTGCGTGTATGTGGTGTGTAGTTATACATGGTGAAGAGTGGCGACGAAAGCGGTGGCGGGGGAGGAAGTGTGGCGACGGTGGCGGGAGGAGGAGCATCTGGAGTTTGGTGGTGGCAGATATGGAGATTTGAGATTGAGAAGTGAGAGATCTGTGGGAGGGTAGGGACAATGGGAAGAGAGAATGTGTGGTAAGAGAGAGGGTGTTAGTGGTGGGACCCACTTGTAATGCGAATGGGAATAGATAATGTCTGATATACCCTTACTGATACATAATTTTGACTCTTTTTCTATCGTTGGATTATCGGATCTAAAGGCTAAGATGTATTCTTATTTCTTTCGTTGAGAACCATTCTTACCGGAGCGCGACCCTATATATATATATATATATATATATATATATATATATATATATTTAATATTGAACGAACTTAGCTTGGTAGGGTGGGACGGGCTGCCATTTCCTAGCCCAGCCCCGCCCCGTCAAAAAAGGGACTTTGGCGGGCTACGAATCTACCCGCCCATCGGTCCATTTGTACAAGTTTACATATACCACACAAATCTATATCTATAGTAATATAAAGAGGCTGTTGGAAAATACTTTTATAATAAGTTTGACTAAAAAAAATAAATTGTTTGACTTACTATTAGTAGAATTTTCGTAAAAACCACATGTAAATCTTTGGGAATCAAATTTAATTGAGATATTCTAAAAAAATTGGAGATTCTTATGGTAACAAATTTGGAGATTCTTATACCAAAATTTAATTCATTTGAAATATTAATCTCATAGGAATCTATTTTTATTGGTAACAAATTTGAAGATTGTTATGCCAAATATTCGAGATTTTGAATTGAGATATCCCAACAATTATGGATTTTCATTCAAATAAATGTTGTAAATCAAACAAAAAATTATTCCGAGAATAATGGATGATATACTAAATATTGATGAACTCCAATCCTCCATAAATTATTTATTTTTATGAATTTTGTGTGTAAATAACTAAATATATAGATTTGCTTTTCGTAAATCTATTACTATATAATAGAGAGAGAGAGGTTTTACTTGACATAGTATTGAAATTCCCCCTTAAAACTTTCAAAATTACTATTCTTAGTATTTTTTATTTTTTTTTTGGGAAATGGCGGCTAAATGAAAATTCGAATTCAATTTCAAAAAATTTGTTATTTGAGAAAGATATTGTGTAAACCTTAATTCCTAAAAACATTGTCATACCGTAGACCATAGAGATTTGTTACCATAATTGTAGGAAAATCAAAGGATTATCTTCTTTAATTTCAATCACAATATTATTGGTAGAGATAATATAGGAAATATTTTACATATATAATAATAATAATAATAATAATAATAATAATAATAATA